GAAGAAGTGAAATCTGTTCATGTGTCCCTTTGTGATCTCTCTACATCTCCACTGTAAGACTGAGAGTTTAAGCACAGGCCATATCTATGTGGTACACCTCCTAGCTTGGGCAGATGATGAGGATAGTATGTAGAGCCTTGGCTTCACTCCTTCCAATCTGTTGACCAGTGAAATAAATGAGGAAATTGTTTCTGGGGTGCTCCTGAGTGCTGCTTCTAGTATAAAGAACAATCTGCCAATGAACCTTATTCTTTCTGCTTTTTTATCTTTTTTCTTTGTTTTTTTTCTCTCAGAGATGCACAGTATTGAACTAAAAAAAATATCGGCAACCCATTTGTTGGATAAAATTAACTGGCCCTCACTGTCTACTTCTGAGGCAGAGTGTCTCAAGAAGTTTATCAGCATATTTCCTATGATCTTTTTTGTTTTTAAGACAAAAAGTCTTATTGTTGTAAGAGAACTGCATAAGTCCACAAGTTCCTAATATATATAGACAAATCTGAAGCTAAATGTCAGGTATATATTTGTAAAGCTTTTCACAAAAGAACATTTGATTTCTGTTATCTATGTACATTCGTATAGGAACATTTACGTAAGTTAAAAAAATCTCTCTGAAATATATCCTTTGGCATTTCTGAACCAGGCTCCATGTCTAATTTCTTAATCCAGAATAAACTTTAGCATTTTCCTTTTAGATGCATACTTGTTATTCCTCCCTTGCCACTTTTTAATCAAGCTTGTTGTTGTTTTGATTCCTGATGTAGAAGCTTTGCGTGTGCATAGATATATGTGGTTGTGGATTACTGGGATATGAATGGGATTGTCAGGCGGTAGGTAATGTAAAATATCAGCTAAGTGTTCCTCAAAAAAATGCCAGAATGGGAGGAGATGAACATCAATGTTTCTTTTCATCCTTGTCACCCTTGCTTTCAGAAAATCTCCCCAAAGCAGGGACATGCCACTTCTTTCCTATGAAATGCAATGGGTTGAATAAGTAAAAATCACTGCATGTTCTAACTCAGACCATTGGCATCTCCTACAGTCACATGTACACCAGGCATGATGGTATTTTTTTAAAAGAATCAATTTGGGTGTTTAAGGCAGCTGGAACCCTGGGATGTTTTTGGGACAGATCCTTAGCCTTGCTTTGTCCTTGTTGAGTTCCAGTTGTACAAAGGAACCAGGAAACTTGATTTGGTTTGTCCACCCAATAATTTTTGTGGTATGAAGAAGTTAACATTATGCTTCCTACTTTCCATGGCATTTCCCAGAGAACGGGAACGTCACAGGAGCGCTTCTGCAATCCTAAATTGCTGCAAAGGTTCATTGGCCAAGAGGTAGAGGGACAAGGGCTGGCAATAGTCAGCCCTGGTTACAGGAAGTGACAAGACCAGCGTAAAGTCACGTATGCTACCTTCCTCCTTCCAAATGTATTTTAGTCACAGCTCGGAATCTAGCCCTGTTTTCAAAACCCAGATGGATTATGTTTTTGATTGTGAAGTAGAGAGTGAATATTTCTTATGTCAGATGATTTCCACACATCAATAGGCAGGAAAGAATTGGTAATATTTTGTACCTGTAGAACACATTTATTCAGAAATTTTACACACACCCTACAACCACTCCTGAGAGGACTATGTAGTATCTCTCTTTTTAAAGATGGAACTGTGGTTACCTGATTTGCCCCTAGATCAGAGTGAGTCAATGACACTGCTGGAAGTAGAATGCAGAGTCTTCTGGCTCCTTAGCCTACAGCTGAGCTACTTCAATGTACTTTTCTGCCTGTTTCCTAATGAAGGACCTAATCCAAATCCCACTGAAATCTCAAAGATCAGGTGTATGTTGCAATTAGTCTCTAAATTTACAGTATAAATAAATGTCCTATATTTCACCTTTTTCTATAGGCTTGCCCTTATAAATATAATATTTGTTAAGAAACACACATCTTTTCTCAGAGTTAGGGTGTTTTGGGAATGTTTTGGGTTTTTTTGGTTTTTGGGTTGTTTTGTCTTGTTTTGAAAAGAGCAAATATATATGGAATAAAGTCTACAATGAACCATTGTGCAATCCACAATACATTCATTAACTTTAAGCAGAGCTATGAATAATAGTCTGGTTCCCTAAGGTTCTTGTGAACCAGGTGTGACTGGTCTTAAAACTAGTAGCAAGATTTATTTCTGTCTCAGTGCTGTTCGTAGTGTGGCTTTGTCGTCTAAAACTCCTAGGTATTAGGCTTCTATCTCTGGAGTTGTAAGTCCACAGGTGCTGAATAGTGAAGCAGATGCTGACAGTAAAGGACTTCTGTTTAAACAAAAGAAATGTAAGTTCTTGGCATTGACTTTATTTTGCATCTACTGAAATCGATGGTAAAATTTTCATTGGTTTCAGTAAGAGTAAAATGAGGCCAGTGGTGAATACTTCTGAAAACCTCAGGATCAATAAAACTGTAATCTCAAGAAGCTATTTATCAAAAAAAAAAAAAAAAAAAAAAAAAAAAAGGCATCAGTACTAGAAGAATAGAAGTCAGACTTGAGCATTACTATTTAGTATATTCATGGTATCACACCTTTTTAAATAGCGATCTGCCTGAACAGCTAAGGAAAAGCAGATGGCCTAACTGTTCTCCAAACTCTGTTTAGATTTCAAGCCAGGAATATGGATAATACCAGCACTGCATACTTCTTGTGGTTATTTATAATGCTCATTGATTCACATCATTTGTTACTGAAATTTTCTAACTTTCATCTTTCCTAATTTGGGTTAGTTATTGTTATATTTCTAAGAATGTTTTCTTTAAACTGATAAAAATTTAGCAGTTCCTTGTACCCTAGAGAGATATAAAAGAAAAAAATGATTTATTCTTTTAAAAGACAATGTATGCTGATTTGTATTTCATCGATTATTGAAGTAGAAAGAAAATAAACATTTCAAACCATAAGCCTATGGATGACTCAACTAAAACTGTGTCCTGCAAAGACCTGCCAGTGTTTCAATCTGCTATCAAATCCTTTCATTTCCTTGGTTACAAATCTTTTAAGCACTGTTAGAACACTTACATTTTGATGTTAGTGACATTCTTGTTTGTATATAACAAGGCTTTAAGTCAAATAAGCGGTCCAAATAGCTGCCTTTTAAATGTAATTTTATATTCCAGACTGATTGATTTCTATGTTTTAATAAAATAGTGGCAGTTATTACATAAAAATGAATCTATTCTTTGCTTTTTTTTTTCCTTTTCCATTCACCCTGGCAAAAGCCATGCACAAGTAGGAGAACAGGATTTTTTCCCTACTCTTTTGAATTCTTTTTTAGGCTGATGCCATGTAGGTGTTTTGATACCAGTTTGATATTCCTTCAGAGGCATTGATTGGGCCCCACCTTTGGAATCTGAGGGACGTGATGCCACAGTGTTTCATGTGCTGTGCTAAGAGCTTCTACCCCCTCTCAGAAATTATGCATTTATATCAGTAGAAGCTGCAGTTGCTCAGTCCCTCAAAACAACCCTGACATAAGAGGAAAAAGTAAGGGAGCTGGACTTCTCAGTAGAAAAGAGAAGATGCTTAGGTGGCCTAATGGAAACTTTCAAAAATTATTGCAGACAGTTTTTAGAGCAGGGTTGGGCAAAATGGTGCATCCAGCTAGCAGCTCCCACTTGCATTGCTCCGGCAGGTCTCCATGGAGACCCCAGGACTGGTGGGGTTGTGACATTGTGGGGCCAAGGTCTCCATGGAAACTGGCCCATGGTGCACTGGCAGGGTATGTGGCTGAGTGGGGAGCTGCTCCAGGGCTAGGGCAGGATCTTGAAGCAGGATCCTGTGACAATGCAGGCCCTAGGCAGGACAGAGCTGCGATCTGCTGCCTGCACACCTCTGGGGCAACGGATCATGGCTCTGCCCTGGCTCCACCCTGCACTGGCATTGCCTAAAGATCCTGGCCCCAGCCCTGGAGCAGCTCCTTGCCCAGTCGCATGCCCTGCCAGCATCTCAGGCTGGTCTCCATGGAGATACTAGCCCCGCCCCGCTGTCATGGCCCTACTGCTCCTGGGGTCTCCATGGAGACCTCCCAGAGCAATATGGGGGGAGAGGGGAGTGCTGGGGAATGGAGTCCACCATGGGCCCAATCAGGCCTGTGGGCTGGATTTTGCCTACCCCTGGTTTAGAGTGATGTACGCTATTCAAATTCAGATGATGGGCTCAGTATCAAAGAGCAGAATGCCACATCTTCATCTGGTGTATATTAGTATAACATTATTGGCTTCAACAAAAATGTACTGATGTATACTAGTTTAAAGAAACCTCTGTAAGTGAGTGTCTTAGAGGTACTAATAATGGAGGATAGAGCTTTTCAGCTCTAGGTCATGAGTTAGTTTAATTCAGCCTAGGTTGTTAATATACATACATAGTATGTATGTATACACACACACTGATATACACATACAAGCTAATATCTTTTTAGTTACCTTCATGGTGTGAAATGGGTTTAGTGACTTCAGTTAATATCCCAGTTCCTGGGATTCACAAATATGTGGATTGCAGAATCTAGAATCACTGGTCTTGTCCATTTTAGCCACAAGACCAAGGAAGGAATGTGAATAGAGAGAAAACGACCTTCTGATCCCTCGAGACAACCCTTATCATCAAACTTTAGAAACATAGATGAGGGAGACTTCTAAGTTTGCTGCATTTTTGTGTATATATAGCAGACTTAAATCTCTAGAGCATCCAATCTGTTAATTTCCATTAGTACTAAATCTACAGGAAATATGTTTCTAAAATGCTTAGAGTGCTGTTCATATATAGGGTAATAAATACATGGGCTAAGTTACAAGGACATGTGACTGAAATGGAAGCCTTCCAGACATTCCTTTCTTCTGGACTTGTAAGCCTAGGTGTTGAGTAATACTGGGGGAAAGGACAGTAGTAAAGGAAGGTTGATTTAAGATTATACTCAAAACAGTTATACTCTAACATTTTTTCCTATCCTTATGTTTTTCCTTCCAGATTGCCTGTTTGGTACCTGTTGATCAGTTTCAGTTATATCAGCGACTGAAATTTGAACGAGGTGTGGACCATTTATTTTATATTTATATTACCTTGGCTTAAAAGGGAGCGGGGAGGAAGGATTAATTTTGACTATCACAAAGCACTCCATTTTCAAGCAAAGACTTGGAGGTTTGTAGAAAAACTTCATTTTGATATAGTTAAGTACAAGTAGCCAATAAGTTGGTGCTGACAATGAAGTTGTGAATAAAAACCCCAAAGACTTCAGTGGAAGAAGGGTACTCGGCTACACATTGGGCATGCCTACAAGTTGCCGCATGATGATGTTGCTATGGCACCATGCTTTTGCACTTCCTTTTGGAGGTACGAAAGCATGGTGCAGTACGGGTGGGTACTGCACCATATGGGCAGTGCATGCTTAGATTTCTCTGCTTCATCGCCATAGCAGTGCACAATAAGCATGGAGCATGCCACTACTGCGACGTAGCAGGAAATCATGTACAGACATGTGTGATTCCTACCTCGCCATAGTGCGCTGTATGGCAACGTAGCTCATCGCTATATTGCCATAGGGTGATGTGTAGATGTGCCCATTGACATGTAAAACAAATCTTTCAATTAGGCTTGTTGGAACTTGGCAACATTTTTAAAGTTACTTGCCCCAAACACTTTTATCTTAGCTTCAGAGTGTAGGAAGGCAAGTACAGATGACAGAAAAGGAGCAGTGTGTCAAATATTAATATTGATACAGAGTCATGATGTGTCCCAGCCTTCCATACATCCATGCAGATCTTCAAAGTTTGTGCTTTCCATGTGGGGTAAACTCAGTTTTTATGATGGGACAACATAGAGAAAACACTTACAAGGGAATCTTCACTGAGGTTCTCTTCTAGGAGCTCCTTCTTTTTGATCGTTTTAACATGGAGGACATGATCTTGCTCATTATTAACTGGTGCCTTGTCATAAAACAAGTATAAGTATATACAGACATAACAATTGTATCAATATCAAATTATACTGATATAATCTGTTATGATGTAACTGTTATGTCCACATAATCCTGTAGCAATACAAGCATAACAAAAACATTGCAAGGTTAATTCAGTTTCATTCAGGGTTCAAATTTTTGCAACTTAGCTAGTTTGTATTGTCATAGAAGCATACAGATATAATAGTTATATTGTAACAGCTGACAGGTGCTCCCTTTTCCTTTTAAAGTGTTTAAAAATGCATAGCCTCTCTGACACTGAGGGTTTATGAATTATAAGGTTAGTATGTCACTGGAAGTGAACATTCTACTTTGGGAGGTTGGCTGGGACCCAACCCTGCTCCAGGACTTCCCTGTCTGCATCTGCCCTGCACCCAGGCCAGAGGAGCAGGGCTCTGGGGCAGTCTGCTCTTCCCCACACAGGCTGCGCTCAGCAAGGTGCTGTTTGCCCCCATGCCTGCCAAGCTCCACATCCCAGCCTCCCCCATCCCACTCCCAGTGCTGGACTCCAGCTGAAACCCACTTCCTCTTGGCAGAGCAGCAAGGCCTGCATCCTAAGACCAAGAAGGGTCCCAGAAATGCTGAGAGATGAGGGGAGAACCTGCTCCTGCTTGCTGGCTGCTCCCCACACCAGCCCCACCACAGCTCTGGGTCAGGGAGGACACAGCTCCATCTTGCCAGGATTGGGGCAGGGCTGGGAGAAAAAGAGCTGGGAAGGCAGGAACTAGCAGCTCAGAGCCCTTGGGGCTTGGAGACTACTGGGGCTGGGGCAGGAGTAAGCCCAGGCAGCACCAGGAAACAGGAGAGCTCCACACCGCTGATCCCAGCAGGGTGCTTCTGACCCAGCCCAGTGAGGGGAGGGCAGGGGAAGGTGGTGGGGTGGGCGGCAGCGGAGGGGCAGTAGATCCGGGGTTATCCTTTTATTTCAAAAAGTGATCTTCACCTTTAAAAAGGTTGGAGACCACTGATCTAGCATGTTAAACTAAAAAAACATGGTTAAATGCAGATTGCAAAAGGCACATTAGATTGCAGCTATAATAGTTTCCACAGATCCAAATCAAGAGGCACATTTATTTCTATAATTGTCTCTTATTTTGACTCCTCTTTTCATGTAAGTCTTTAGGAAATCATTGCAGTTTTTCTTTTTTTGTGCAACATGTTACCTCTTCTTTGGGGTTTGATAGAACAAAAAAAATACAGGCAAACTCTTCAGAGTTAAAGTGAATATCCTTTTACTTAACATCCTTAAAGAGTGATCTGGCCTTGTGCAGGGGGCTGGAGTAGATGACCTTCTGAGGTCCCTTCCAACACTACTCTCCTGTGGTCCAGGCTAAAGGATTTAAAAAATGAAGGCTATTAGAATATGTTAACTTGATTGTTTTTAACAAAGCATTGGGAAAATTGTCTTTGGGTTTGTTTTTGTTTTTTGGAGATAAGAAAGAGTTGTAAATGGGGATGATAGTAATAGTCTCACCTCTCCTAGTAGATGCTGCATTGTCAGCTGAAATATAACCTGGCCAAAGTGGCTAGAAATAGACATCACCAAATGGAGTAGATCGGCTGTGCTGCAATGTGTCACAGCACGTTGGGTGAACCACATGTTGCCCCTAGTTCTGCCTTTGGTGTGGGATAAGGGGCAATGTGATCTTGCCACTTTCCCCACTGAGTAGGGAACCCCAACTTCTCCATGTATGTAGAGGCATCCTGAGATTACTTGCAGTGCCTCCCTGTAAGCAGGGAAGAGAGCAGGTGCTTTGGAGGCTTGAGAGACCCTCAAGACCCCAAAACATCTGCCCATGGTTGCTGGAGGATACAGCTGCCTGTACTCTCCCATACAGAGCTAATAGACATCTCATCATATAGCAGCAGAGTCTATACTTGATCTTAGCCCACAAGAGGCCAAGAAGCGAGAACCTTTTGTTGTGCCACTGATTTTGTTTGGACGTGGCAAAGGGCAGCAACATCTATTGGCTCACAATTTGTGCCACCATAAAAATTGTCATGGCGGTACAAATGAGACATTAGGCAACCACCTTTTTCTACCTAATGGAACTCCTGATCTCCAGCTCTTCTCCACTCTACCCCCATCCTCCCCATTCTCTGTCACTTTTCTGATGACACCAACAACCTCCCACACACTTACAGCCATAACTGTCATTTTTTATTTCTCCCCTTTACCCTAAATGTCTCAGGCTGTGTCCAATTTTCCCACTTCTTCCTCTGTAATTTTTCTAAGCTCTCTTTTCCCTTTATGACAGGCAACCCTGTCATCCTCACATCCCATATTAATTATTATAATCTCCTCCTTTCCAGACTGTTTAATACCCTCAGATATGCTTTAGCGTTACTAAGATGTTTTCCTCTGACTTTGTTCTGATCATATCACTTTGCTCGCTACCTCAGGCTTACTGCATCAAGGTCTAGGTGCTTTTTCTCACCACCAGTACCATTCACAATTTTGCCCATACCTACGAGTCTGTCTGATGTTGTTATTGCCTCCCACTACAACCCCTTTATCTTCTTTACTTTGCCAACATCAGCATCATTTGCTGGCTTCTGAACACACCTTCCTGCTCCTTCTCCCTCTTGGGCATGCTACACCAATCCTGGAGTGACTATCAGAGCCACTACCCTCTTGTCCTTCAAATTTATCTTCAAAACACATCTTTTGTTGAGAGAGCTGGCTGTAAGAAATCAGACAGTTCATAGTGGCTTGAGGGGAAGTTGGGATTAGTTGTGCTTTCTTTGTTAGAGTTTTAAGGTGAGCAGATGTACATGTGTCCCTCTTCCCTACCCGTTTCTGTCAATTACCATCTTTGTTTGTAAACTTTTTGAGCATGGTCAGGTGTTTCTATATATTTGTAGAGAATCTTGGATATCTAGGCCTCTTTGCTCTATTAAATATTTAATCCTATTAATAAATAGGGGTTCATCCACCAAGTCAGTGCAGCCTTCTTTGCAGTGAAAAGTTGGAGTTCTTTAATTGTGGATAAGTGTAGCAGATTCAGGAATGGGGCAAGAGGGTATTGGTCTTCCCTGACTTAGTGTACCTGGTTAGTGAGTGGTGGAACACACTGCATGAGCAGGGAGCTCTGACCTCACCAGAAGGTGAACACTGCTGTTGTTAGCCCTTCCCCTCCCTCCCTATGTCTCACTGAATTCAACATCAGGGAAAAAGAGGGAATGAGAGGCTCTCAGACCCTTGGCTCATGAAAGCATAGTCTCTGACCAGACACTACACCTGAGAACACATGTGGAACAGCCAAAGGGGGTGCAACCATGACACCACGCTGCCTCTGGATCCACCCCTGGTGGATAGTAACACTGTAAAACTGTTTAGGATGGGAATTAAAGAAGACTGTGCCCATCTGAGGTAACTGGAATGCAGTTCACCGAGTGAAATTTGGACACAACACATGGTTTGTATTTCTGTTACTGGAAAAACTTGCATGTGGTTGCTAGGGACCGCAAATGATCAGTACCTATATTTTATGTCGAATCCAAAATGTGGCACATTTAATGCCACGCTTTCCCTTTACACTGTGTGAAAGGCATTGGCTCAGTACCAATTCAAAGGAAAGAGTATTACCCACTGATAAAATGGGTAAAAATGCCACTTCCTGTAGCATGTGCTATTTTCTTAGGCTTTCTCCCAGATCTTACCTGGTTGCTGGCTTTGTGAGAGCTGACCAGATCACAGCCACTATGGTGTGGGTTTGGTCTAGTGTTTGGGAGACATCCCTCCTTAACCACGAATCGGGTTGGCTGCACAAGTAGTGGAGACTTGGAGAGGAATACCCACCCAACCAAAAATATTTAACAACCTTGTAAAGTAATGCATTTCCTTCATTTATTTGTATATTTTTAACTGCTGCTTTCTAGGCTTAGTGTTTCTTTCTAGTTTAATTTCTGCTCCATATTAAATCAAATAGTACAACTGAGCAGTGAAGGTAAAGTCCCACCTATATATTCTTTGTGAAATGGATCGGCAGAGAGTTTTATTTCATGAATCACTTATATCTTGCTACAATGATTCCTGTAAATCTGTAAAGCTTAAAAAGCCTGATAACTGGATGTCTAAAGCAGACTTCCTTCCCTGTCTTCCCTCACCTTATTTTTGAAAGAACTGAAGTTTCCAGAGTATGCCACATAGTTGTTTCACTTTTACTGCTCTATATTGATGGGGGGAGGAGGGGAGGAAATCCATTCTTCCTGTTATACCTCTGTAGTTGCAAGGGCTAGGTTCAGTGGACAATATGTACAAAATGCACGTGTCATGTAGCATGATCCCATATAGTTTGGAGGATAGCTTGGGAAGTGCTAAAGTAGTGCTGTGTGAAAAATGATTTTTTCAGTTTGGCATATGAAACAAAACAGTAGTAATCATTATATGGATTAATCAATTTGGGTCAATCCTAGATTAAAATATTGGTGTGTTTTTTCTTGCCAAAATTAAAAGCCAAAACATTGTGCTTTGTGTTAAGCCAAACAGAACGTTTTGTTTTGGGGCTCATAAGAAAAGCAGAGGAAATAGAAAGGCAGATTTACACAATTGTCTGAGGAGGAGGCAAGTTGTACACTCAGTTAGTGCACGTATCAAGGATGCACAATTCCCTCTTCTGCCCCAGGGATTTGAACCCATGTCACCCATCTCCCAAGCACAAGGTGATGAAGTCATCTCAGGTGTGGTGTTCTAGATCTCTCCTGTTAACACTGTTCCACTTTGCAGATGAATAATAATAATAAGTAAAGAGCCATTAATTGGAGCACTGACTGGAACCCAGGCATTGCCTAATCAGGAGGTTAGAGTCATTGTTGCTGTCTTGCTTAATGACTGCTGAAGTATTTTGCACAACAGGAGGAACTGCAGATACTTCACACCGACATGTCCTGTAGCTTGATGGCTAGTTCACTCACCTGAGAGCTGGGAATCCCGGAGTCAAAGTTCTGCCCTGAACCCAGAGATTGGTTGCAGAGAACTGATTTGAACATGGCTCTCTCATCTCTTGCATGAGTGTCCTAGCTGCAAGGGTATGCCAAGGTGGTGCATTTTTGCCATGAATTTGCAACTATTCACATAAAATTATACCTAATTCTAATCTGGACTGCTCTGAGCTCCCAGGGGGAGTTCAGGGAACTCAGCAATTGCAGCTCGTATGATTCAGGTTTCACTGAAACATAGCTTGTGCTTAGACAAAAATATTTCTCTTTCAGTTAGGCTTTAATGGACACACAGAGATGTGAGATCAAAATTGCCTGCGTTTTTACAAGGGCATATGAATATATGGGTTCTCATGTTGCGAAGTAAAGGCCACACTTTTAGAAGACCTGTTATCTAGCAGCATTTATTCAAAATTCAGTTAGATTGAATCAAGGTATAAAGATGGTCAGACCCAAAGGTTTTGATTTGGCTCATTAAAAACATGGAAGATCTTAGCATGAAATTTCGAACTGGGTCTGAAGCTTGAAGACCCTCCCACTATTCCAGTGTTTAGCAAAGGTTCCATTCTCTGATTTCCAAGTGAGCATTTCTCTAGCTGCACATTTTCTAGTCTCTGACTCTCAGGGCACAGGATTTGTTTCGCTGCATAGCAAGCTGTCTGGGCCTCACTGACCATTCTGTGAGGTGAGTTCCAGTGGGGGTTTACTGAAAAAGGTGTCCCATTAGATGTGTTGAAGAATAACTGAGAACTAGACCAGTCCTACTCAAGGCTGTCACCCCCATCCATTTCCTGTGGCTGTTCCCAAAAGCTCCCTGAGGAGAAGTTGCGGTTTACATGTGTTGCTGTAAACTTTAAGGTCCAGATAAACTTTTGCACTGATACTGTGGTAACTTGCAGGTTGGGCTCTTCCAGGTCATGCATGTAAGCAGGAAAATCTGCCTTTTGAGAAGTCTCAAGGAGAAATTGCTTCACAGTGGGCATGTTTACACATTGCCCTAAGGCGATGTAGCAACGTGTTACATCACTGCATGGCACACTACGGCAATGTAGCAATCACGTGGATCGATACGTGATCGCCAAGTACATCGCCAGAGCAGTGTGCTCTCCCAGCATAGTGTGCCACTATAGCGATGTAGCCGGGAAATTTACCCATGCACCATGCACATGGCACAGTAACAGCTCGTACTGCACCACACTTTAGTACTTCCAAAACAAAGTACTAAAGTACAGCGCCATAGCAACATTGCTGTATGGTGACATGTAGATGTGCCTAGTGATTATCATCCAGTTGGGTTTCATTGTAAGTGCAAATTTCTTGGGTCAAGGGGGAGCAGCAGTAGAAAAAGGCACTCATTTTTACACATCTTGGTGAGTGTATGCAACACAGCGTCTACATTCAAGTGGTAATGAAGGTATCCAAGATTGTGTGATAACACCTGACAAATATTGACCTTTTAGGCTAGGGACAGACATTACACATACACTGATTTAAGTGATCAGAAACTGGTTTAAACCTGTAACAGAACAGATGTTCAGTGCACATAAACCAGTTTGAAAATGGCTGAAACCTGTCTGAGAAAAACCCGGTTGAATGTAGTATCAGGCAGTGGCAAGGTGCAGGGGGTGCATGGGGGTGCACATGCACCCCCTGAGAGTGCTGGTGCCCCTCTTGTAAGGGGCACCTGTGCCCCCCCTGCGAGTGCTGGCCAGGGAGCAGGGCCATCAGCAAAAGGAGCCGTGCCACTTTCAGAAGTGGCCGTGGGACTTCCAGAAGTGGCATGGCCGCTTTTTGGTGAGTGCAATCGGCTGCTGGGCCCCCCCTGTCAGTGTGATTGGGGCACGTGCCCCCCCTGACTCGAGGCATCAGTCACCCATGGTATCAGACTTAACTGATTTGGGTCAAACTAGTTTATGCAATGTCTGTCCCAGGCCACTTGCTGGTTTAAGATAAACCAGACACCCCCAGCATCCCGGCATGTTCTCTGGGTTGGGTGGGGCTCTCTGCTTCACAGCAGGGCTGGCCCCTCCCCTCTGTTCCCTGGGCATAGCTCCTCTGGCATAGACTGGCAGATACAGGAAGGTCTGCTGGCTTCCCTGTGCCTCCCTTCCCTTCCCCTCTCACCACTTGCTGCTTCAGCAGGGATCCCTTCCTCCCCTCTCCCACAGCATGTACCATAGCCAGCATGTGGTATGCTAGCTAGTACTGTATAAGGCTCTGGCAGAGACTGTAGACACAGCAAGGTCTGCTGTCTTTCCCCTGCCCTATTCCTCCCCCATGCTGCTCAAGCAGGAAATCTTCCCCCTCCCTTCCTCCCTTCTCCCACAGCATGGACCCTAGCCCCATGGACCCTAGGCATGCTAGCTAATGTGAGAGGCGTCTGTGTGTGTGTGTGTGTCTCCAGTTTCATTGGGACAGGCAGGCAAACAGAACAGGGCTTTTGGTCCGAATGAATAGATCACCCCAGTAAGCTGTTTAAGCAGAGTTTGAAGTAATGAGGGAGAGGCTATTGTTTGCTAATCGGGAGATAAAGACTCTTATCAGCTCTGGGCTACCTTGCTTATCTGTCAGTTTGCTGCAGACTGCCTGACAAGCAGGGAGGGAGATTAAAAGCTCTGTATCATCAACAGATGCATGCACTGCACCCCCTCTCCCCCTTTGTCTTAGAGTGCTAGCAGGGAAAAGCCTGAGATGGTGCAGGCAGACCTCCCTAATGAGAAAGTCCTGCTGGAGCCTGGCCATACCCCCCTCAGCTCAACTCTGTGCAAGGGAAGAAAGGGCTGCTCTAGTGCCCCCTGGCTTCTAGCCTGAGTCACTGCCGGCAAGTGCCTGAATTTCCTCAGTCCAGAGGGATTGTCTGTATGGTTGTAGCCTGCTTAGAATAACCTGCAAAGGTTGAATCTATTCAGGCTCACACTTTTTGAATGTCTGTCCCTAGCCCTAATGAAGATGAGCTAATAAGATTGTTAGTAATGGTATTATGAGTTTACAGATTAGAGGAAAATTAGACAACATCAAGCTTTACTTGACTTTTAAGGATACATAGAAATATGAGATCAAAATTGCCCATGTTTTTACAGGGGCACATGAACAAATCAGTTCTGACATTGTGAAGGAAATGATGCCACACTTTAAAAGACCTCTTACCTAGCAGCATTTATTCCTATTTTTGTAATTCAGTCATGCTGCCTATGAATACACAAGGGCATGGATAACAAGTAGTTTAAATTTAGAATCACAGCAGTAGAAGTGTTGCTTGGCAAGTGCTTCCAGAAAAATACACCATTCCAGCCCTTAAGCAAGAATACATTTTCTCATATAATTTGTTTTTCTGCAAAGAAAATGAGCAAATCAATGAGCAAAGCAATGCAAGTACACCTGTTCTTACTTTTCTAAATGTAGGTACAAGGTACTACCTGACAGAATCTCTGTCATTAACTTTTCACAGACTTCTTGTGGTGAAAGGGGAGGTGTGTGTCTGATACAGTTTCTTACAATCTTGATGATGTTTACAGTGCAGCTGTCTTCACAAAATGCCCCATAGTCACAGTAAATCTGTAGAAAGATCTAAGAGATATACATAACATCCATGGAAGTCAAAAGGAAGATTGCCAGTGATTACATGAACAATGAAAGAGGACCTGTATGGACATAGAAATGTTAGTTGGAGTGAAACAAGGAGTATATAATGGACTTAAACTGCTTGGTTTTCACATCTTTATTACATTTCAGAAGTTCATCTGGATCCGAACAGAATGTGGTGCCCTGATGCTGACTGCCAGACTGTGTGCTATGTTGAATTGAATGATTTGGGACAAGCAGTGCTGGTAGAATGCCAGGCATGTCACCTGAAGTTCTGTTCATCTTGCAAGGAAGCATGGCACCCAGAAAGCTTGTGCCAAGAAAACCAACCCATTGTAATGCCAACTGAGCATGGGTAAGAACAGAGTTCAACATAGGTTTGCAATTGTTCAGCTCTACTAGTGGCACAAAATGAGTGGTGGATGCCTCATTTGCCTTATGAATCCACATCCTCTACTTTTATGAAACATCTTTCTAGTACAGCACAGAGCTGCAGATGTTTATCAATCTAATTCAGATACTGCTGTAATTACTTCATTAAGGAGTAATGTTCTATGAGGGGGCTTTTCTAGGGTTTTGACCTCCATTGGTCCTCAAGAAAGATTGGGTTATCCAGCATTTTGAACATCCATGCATCATTAAGGCCTTGTTTACTCTGCAGAGTTCATTGTTATAACAGTAAAAAAACAAAACGAAACACTTGTATACTGATACAACAGCATCCATACCAGTGGTAATGTTGAGTCTAGTAGAAAAATTGCCCTTGTTGAATAATATTTAATAATACTACTACTATAAACAGCACTTGTAGGTCAGGCCTAATGCTTGTATTAAGTGGGTGTAAAATGTTTTCATCTGTGTGACTAAACAAGTCTGATATGGTAATCTTTTGTACACATGCACAGGAGTTGTTTTTTGCAACACTCTGCTCATGGTACTGGAAATGGCTGTGTAGTGCTTTAGTGACTGACATACTTTAAGTGTTCCTGCTTTTACATTATGTAAGGTCTATAGCTAATTTGTGCTTTCAGAAATGACTACGTTCTCAGTAGCATGTACAGTGTAATCTGTAAACTCTCTGTTGTGCTCAAAAGATTGCTACAATTTTTGCAAGAACTAAAAGAGTTAAAACTAAACAGTTTGATCAGCCTGGAGATTTTATCACACACAAGGCAGCCTGTGAGGTGGTTGTTGTTATTTTTTTTTATCTCCAAGTTTGTTCTTCAACAGCAAGGGCAGTACATTGAAATACATAGTCCAGTTGTTTTAATGAATTACATAAGCTTTTTTCCATAATGTAGAGGACCATTTCTTTTAATGCTGTGGTTTGATGACAGAGTAATTACAACAGCCTGCTACAACTTCAGAGGCATGAATTTGAGCCCTGCTCTAGACTTGTTACAAAAGCTGTTCCCAGTTGATGCAGCTGTAAATGGGTACCTGGCTATGCAGACTGGATGAAGGCAGTTGGACATGATTCTGGCAGCATCTCTCCTTTGGGTGCCATTAACTGTAGACAGAATCTGTGCGCCTTAACCTTGGTACCCAGATAGCCATCCAGCTCAGGCAGCCCTTTGAATTTGGCTTTTGATCCTTTTAATGCTGAATATGAGCCATGCACTATGAATATGTCTTCTGGGTGCCTATTTTATGTAGTATGAAAGGTTAATGGAACTGAAAATTTAATTTGTCACTGTGCTGCCTAAGCACTAAGTCATATATGTTTTAATATATTCTAGTATGCGTACTGGACTTTACACTTCCAGTGCATTAAGACTAAGACTGTAGGCAATCTGGAAACTCAGCGCAGGGCATATCAGGCCACAGAGCTGGGTGTGAATTAGAGATCATGACCATGTAATGATGTACCTACTGCTTGACGTTGTTGTACCTTTGAGACTCCCAGCCACAATTCTTTTAATTTCCTCTTTTTAAATATTTCTTTACTCTTCTAGAGCCCTAATCAGAACAGACACAGAGGCTCCAATTAAACAGTGTCCAGTGTGCCGGATCTATATTGAACGAAACGAAGGCTGTGCTCAAATGATGTGTAAGAACTGCAAGCATACATTTTGCTGGTACTGTCTACAGAACTTGGATGTAAGTTCCACGTGCTAGACACTCTTAAGGAAAGGATTTTTGAGGATTCAGGGGCCAAGTCCCTCATGCCTGTTAAAACCAGAATCATTTATGCCATTGTTGTGTCCTTTAAATGAAGGAGAGAGGGTATTTGGTTGGGTTTTGGGGGATTTTTTTTACTTGAGCAAATGTCCTAGTATCTAAGTGGATCTTGGAGGGGCCAAAGTATATTTTGGTTTTGGTGGGTAAGGAAGACTAGAAGCTTTTTCTATATCTTATCATCTTGTTGGGAGCACCTTAATTTTACAAAGTTTTGTTTCGGGCTACCTCACACTCTTTTAATGCCTCGGTCAAATTATCGTATTTACTCACATACCACACATATTTTCCAAAAAGCAGAGATGCTGATTTTTCTTCCTGGAATAGAAAAAAAACTCTGCTTTGATTCCTGCTTCAGCTTTGATTCTAGCTCACAGCACCAATGGCATTTCTATTCAGGCAGCTGAGGGAATCTGTTGACTTAGTAACATGGCATTCCTCAGCCGGGGAAGTTTAGGTTGGATATTAGGAAAAGCTTTCTCACTAGGAAGGTGATGAAGCACTGGGAATGGGTTACCTAGAGACCCAAGGACCAACTTTTATTTTTGCGGGGGGGGGAAGGGGCTAAGAGGATGGACATGTGCTCCCCATCCCCCACAATGTGTACAGAAGTGGGGGGGCGGGCACAGGCGATACTGGAGGGGGGTAGGAAGGGGCACAGGCGATGCAGCTGGGGAGTGGGAGGCCATGCCTCCCCAAGATTTTCTGTGCCTACAATGGGTCTCATGGCTGCAGTGGGCCAGATCAGCTCTGCAGCCCAGTTGGCAGGACCTGGCGCTGGAGGGAGCACCGTGCTGCTATGGCTGCCAAGGTGAGACCCCCCCCC